CCCGCCGTTCGTCACACGGAACGTTTCGAATTCCACGATGAAACTGCTTAACTTTTCAAATATAAGTTCGCGAAGTAAAGAAAAACATCTTTTTTTTTCAATTTTCGTAACACCAACAGAGCAGCCAATAGCGAGTATACTATACCTGCGTGGCATCCAATGGCATCCGGCCATTTTTGCGAACCCCCAATCGGATTCCGATGCTCCGATTCGACCGTGAATAATCGTAAACTGGAGAGAATCGACCACAGGTATGCGGTGGCCTGGCCGATCGGGGTTCGAGTCCGGACTGAGTCACTCACGTGACTCATGGTTACACACGTACCGATATATTTGAACGTGCACCACAATATATATATATATATATATGCATACACATGCTAATTCATACATGCAACGGCATGCGTAGTAGCGCGTGTTGTCTCCCATTTAATTATACATGGTAGCACGCGCGTCTTAGTGCGTGATGACTAATTTCCACTATATTGTCCGTCTGCTAATTAACGTCGTGATAAGCAGAAGAAAAGTAAAAAAAAAAATTTTTTAAAATAAAATTGACAAGCAAACGAATACGATAAACCGAATTAAAAAATTTCATTAATTACGTTCGTTATTATTTTTAACGAGGGTAATCAATTATTTTTGAATCTTTAACGAATTTTAAGTATCTCTTAGCGCCGCATTGATCTCGATTAACCGATACACCGAAGTTTTATACGGAGGATCGTAACGAAACCTTCGAAACGAGAGAACCCGCACGAATCGCAGTGACGGCCTTTGGACATCGGGGCACCCGCAGTTGCGTATCAGCTTGCACGCGTCTCACGGAATACGCACTTTGTTTCTTGAGCGTATCGCGTCAACGCAAGATGAGATAGGGGCGCGTTGAGAATTTCGTGAGAATTATAAAAAACAGAGACACGTACAAGATTTTTGTGTTGAAAAAAAAAAAAACGAAGAGATAACAGATATCACGGTGCGATTTTGATTAAATGGAATTGGGGGGGGGGGGGGAAATTTTGCAAAAAAAAAAAAATTTTTTTTATTAACAAAATTTTTTACAGCTCAGGTAACACGTATAAGATACAATTTCTGATGGACGCGCGAACGGGGTAATAAAGGGTTGCGCGTCGGACCGAAAAAAAAAAATAAAAGTGGGAGCACCAAAGGGAAAAATTGTAGAGGAAGAGATAAAGTGGAAACAGTGGGAAGTTATTAGCATAAAAGGTATTTTAATTATCAGCTCGTGTTTAGGATGTTTCTACACGCGCGTAGAAGCGCCCGCGCAGGATATGACGTCACGGTACGTGTGGCCTCCGTTAGATGAGTATAAGATAGTCGCACATGTTTTTCTGTCCGGTGTGACGGTTCGATTACAAAAATGATGGCGCCTGTCGCTGCGTTTCTTGTTAAATCCGATGAATCGTTAATTATCATTTGCCGGGAATTTTTAATTACTTGATTGGATCGATTACACATGCAAGTCTCGAACTTGGCAGGACCCACCACCAAGTGGCTGAATAACTATTGCAGTGCACGTGCCACGTGGGTGGATAACAATATTATCTTTGAATATTCTATATTTGGCGTCTAATTAATTAATTGAATTACGGGTGTATGAAATTATTTAAATTTCCAAAAATTTCAATATTTTTGAAAATGAAAAAAAGAAATTTGCACTCTTACGTTTGTCCATCTTTTGTAAACGTACGTATACATCTATTCGAAACGAATGAGACATCGATTAGCCATTCATTAGCGTTTTTACGCTTTTCCAACCCATTCTCTCCTTACGCGCGAATAATTTTTCGGGATTATATCATATATCCGAAAAAAAAGTTTCCCTATATATCTCGATTTTCCCTATTCCCTTCCCATTTTCCTCGCCTTTTTTTCTCTGCTTATTTACCCACCTCCAGCCGATAATAAAATGTAATCGATGCTTGGCACAAGTCGATGAAAAATAAATACAGCGATGATCCGTAAGAAAAGAGGATATTTTTTAAAAATATAAAATATAACCAAAACGTCATTTTTAAATATTACGTTTTGAAAAATTATTTAAAATATATATATTTTCCATATAAATCCTTACTGCTGCACTGTATATACATATATATATACATATATATATATATGCAAGACTCTATCCAGTCTCTTGATCTATACGCAGATCATGAATTGATCCTTTATTGCTAATCGAAAAAAAATGGCGATCAAGAATTATCTTCGAGTCCAGGATCAAGCACCTAACCTAACCCTAACCTAAGCCACCGTAACTCCCGGTTAACCAACGGCTTAATTAACGTAAGGTCAAACTCGCATCTCGAATTACATAATTAATACCTACCAACCGGCACGCTGAT